CATGACAACTTTTGATTTGCACTTCTTCTTAGTTTTATGTTTTAGCTTGTATAAATATTCCTTATTGTGGTTAATGCATCAGGGCCATGGTCAGAGTCATGGACAGTCCGAAAAGCATTGACAAGACAGATGAAGATTGGGAGAGTGAATGGCTTAGGCGTGTCTCAGCAGACACCAAATAAAGTCAGGGCAAGATGGTGTCACCTTAGCCATTCCATAGTCAGGGGATACTGATGGTCTTTAGTCATGGTGTTCTGTGTCTGGCTTTGATAGCATAGTAATGAATTTGGAAGAATTTCCTTCTCTTCTGTTTTTTTGGAAGGGCACAAGTTTTCTTGAGTTATTTAGGTACTTTTTAGAATGCAGCTGTAAAGACACTTTCCCAGATGTTTCCTAGATGGGAGAATTTTTATATGATTGTGTCATCAATAGTGGTAGATTATTTGTGTGTGTGTGTTGTTTTTTTTTTTAAGATTATTTTTCAGCTGGGCAGTGGCTGCATATGCCTTTTTAATCTCAGCACTTGAGAAGCAGAGGCAGGCGGATCTCTTGAATTCAAGTCCAGCATGGTCTACAGAGTGAGTTTTAGGACATCCAAAGGTACACAGAAATTCTGTCTCAAAAAAACCACACACACACAAAATTATTATTATCTTTTTAATTATCTAGGATAATTATCTAGGATAATTAGGATATCTAATTAGGATATCTAATTATCTAGGATAATTACTAGAACAAGATGCAAAAATATGTAATTTCAGCACCATCATTAGAGAAGTGCTTTCAGAAGGCACATTTTCTCTTTATTTGTAGTTTCTTTGATTAGGAAGTTGCAGTTTCACTAACCAGGCAGAGAATTACCTTACCAAGTAATTACGAATATAGTCAGTACTATTCAAATAAAATGTAAAGCTGCTAAAGAAAAGTCTAGCATGAAATGAAGCTTTAAACAGAAAAAAGAAAAAGGAAAGATTAATAGATAAGTGCTCCTGTGGAATGAGGGCTCTCATGCATTTAGTGTGAAATTGATAGCGGCTATTTAAAAAAGGTTGTATTTTAGAAACCTTTTCAGTTATAAGGAGAGGTACTACAGAATGCTGAATGAAGGAAGTAGAGGATAACAGTTACAGAGATGGCTTGGGTCATGGCTATTGCCATCTTAATATTTATGTGGGTATATCCTATAAAGTTAATGTATGTCACTCAAAAGCAGCTATGCTTCAGAGGACCTTGAGGTCTTCATACTTCTAGTCTGTCTGTCAGTTTTTTATTTTATTATTATTATTATTTTGAGACAGGGTTTCCTCTGTTGTTCCTTGGCTGACCTGGAATTCTGTAGAACAGGCTGGTTATAAAATCTCAGATATCCATTTGCCTCAGCCTCTTGAGTTCATTTTCAACTTTCTATGAAATAAAGGGTTGTTAGGAAAAAAAGATTACTTTTCTTATATTTTAGTTATTTGTATTTGTCTGTGTGCTGGTGCCCATAGAGGCCAGAGATGTTGAATCCCCCTGGAGCTGGATTGGGAGGTGTGAGCTGTCTGGTGTGGGTGCTGGGAACTAAACTCAGGTCTTAGGCAATAGCAGTACTTGCTTTTAACATCTGAGCTGTCTCTTCAGTCTTTCTGTGTTTTCATTGGAAATACTTATTGCTGTAAAATTTCCACTTACCATCAGCATGTCTTTTTAAAATTTTTATCACATTGTTCCAGGTATGTTGTTAATTCCTATATATTTTTCAACTTTCTAATTTTGCTTCTATCGATTTCTAGTTTGAACCAATGTGGTGTGCAAAGATACTTGAGCAATTTCAGTCTCCTTACATTTGGCTTTTATGCCCCATCTGTTTGAGAAAAATGTATTTTATCTATAGGTTCTTTTGGTATAACATGTTTTGCCCATCCAATGTTTCCATGGTTTTGTGTTTTGTTTAGTCAGGATGAACTGTCTGTTATCACACATTACCTTTCTGACATCCATTAAAGCAGGCAGTAAGTCCATTCAGACTTTCTTGATTCCAATACTTAGCCACTCAAATATAGGCTGTTGGTATGTCTATCCTTGACATATATTTTTATATAATATTTACTTTTTCTCTTAGTATTGGGGATGTAGACAAGTGTTTTACCACTGAGCTACATTCAGAGCCCTTCCTTTTGTCTCTTATTATAGTGTCAGATCTCAGGCTTAGCAGCAAATGCCTTTACCTGCTGAGCTATCTCACCAGCCCCTAAAATACAGTGTAACTTCCTGCTCCTTCTCTTCCTTCTCCTCCTCTTCTTTCTCCGCCTCCTCAGTCTTGTCCTCTTTTTTTGGTAGGCAGGCAATTTCCCCAGCACAAAAGAACTCTTTAGTGGTTCTTTGAGAATTCCTACCAAATAATAAATTTTTTTGGCACACGGATGTCTTTTCTACTTGAGCACCAGATAGGAATCAAAACACCTAGTCTTCCTTACTGTCAGACTTCAGTGAAGCTAAACTGTGGTCAGTTCTTGCCCTAATGTATCTGTAAGACAAGGAGATTCTAGTTATAATGCCTTATAGTAAAATTAAATTAAAAAAACTTATATGAATATGTCCTGTTTTTTTGTGAGTGTGATATAAGCTAGGGTTGCCTGAGAAGGGACCTCAGTTAAGAAAATATCTCCATAAGATTGGCCTATAGGGCAACCTGTGGGGCATTTTCTTGATTGATGGTTGATATGGAATGGTCCTGCCTACTACGGGTGGTACTGTCTCTGGGTAGGTTGTCTTGGGGTGTGTAAGAAAGCTGGCTGAAAACTTAAGTGGCTAAATTTCAGAGGCCAAAAGGGAATATTTTGTAAATAATGTATATATTCAAGCAAGATGTGGTGTCCCACATCTGAATTCTAGAAATGGTGTTTTCAGACATTTCTACATTAGTGTTATAGTGTTCACTTGGCTCATCCTGCTAGGTTTCAGTCACCCCAGAGATAACGTTTACACATGGATGACATTTATTTCATGTTGACTCAGAATGATCCTTTGGTTTCTATAGCCATTTCTCTCCATTTTTAAGATCACACAGAAATCAAGGTCAGCTTTGTAAAACTGCTTCATTTCCATCACTTATGGTAGGCCAGCATTGTGAAATCTAGAAAGTTGTGTACCCTGAGTGTGTGGTTGAGGACCTGAGGCAGAAGCAGGTAGCAGAGGTGTTACCTATATCACTACATTGCTTCTTTGTGAGTGTGTGGGATTTTATAGCCCTTTCAGCCAAATGGGGAAAACAATTTGTATATTACCAATGTTTTTAGTTACAATAAACAAGCCACCCTGATCACTGCTGACTCTCACCTAAAGTGAAACCGTCCTATAATGTCCATGGCTGTTACAGTATATTGCTGTAGCTGCATGTGTCATGTCGTGTTCTATATTTGGCCAGGATAATCTAGAGGCAACACTTTTTAATGGTAAAATAAATCTAATGGATATAAACTATCACAGGAAACCTAGTTTTTTCATCATTGACCTTTTCAAGTGTTTAAATCAATAACTGCTGTGTACTGTGGGGAAAAAAAAAAAGCTGGCTGAGCACACCAGAAGGGGAAGCCATAAGCTAGTAATAGACAGCGTTCTTCCCTGGCCTCTGCTTCAGTTCCGGTCTCTAGGTTCTTGCCTTGAGTTCCTGCCCCAACTTTGCTCAGTGATGAGCTGTTAATTGGAAATGTAGTATGAAGTAAACCATTTCCTCCCCATGGTACTTTTGATCATGGTGGACTTTTTTTGTTTTTAAGATTTGTTTTTTGTTATTATGTATACAGTGTTCTGCCTGCATGTATACCTTTATGCCAGAAGAGGGCACCAGATCTCATTTTAGATGGTTGTGAGTAGCCATGTGTTTACTGGGAATTGAACTCAGGACCTCTGGAAGAGCAAGCAGTGCTCTTAACCTCTGAGCCACCTCTCCAGCCCTGATCATAGTGTTTTATCATTGTAGTAGAAACCCTAACTAAGATTGTGCTTTGTGTGTATGTATATCTGTATATCATGTATTTACTGATGCCCAAGGATGCCAGAAAAGGGTGTTGGGTCCTTTGGGACTGGAGTTATAGATGGTTGTAAAGGTGCTGGAAGTTGAACACAGGTCCTCTGGAAGACCTATTTTAACCTATGAGCCACCTCTCCAGTCCAGGATGTTATATTTTAAGAAACTCATGTGCTTGCTTTCCTGAGTCCTTTTTGTGTTGCTTATTATGGAGTATAATAGTTATGCAAAATTACATTTTAGGGACAAAGTTACTGAGATTAACATTCCTGTTCTCCCTTCCCCACTACTTTGTGCTTAAACAGTCATTTATTTTGAGGGGATAGATTGCTTTGTTATATAGCGATTATGATATCTGCTGTTAAGGAGTGTTCAAGTAATTAATTAAAAGGAATGATTATTTTGTGCAAGCATCTGTCTGTCTACACACACACTTATAAATACATTCATAAAAACGTTCTAGTATTACTTAGAGTACTGTATTATTTTTCTGTTGCTATAAGATACTATGACCAAAGCCACTTAAGGAAGAAAGGATTTTTTTTTTTTTGGCCTCTGGTTCCAGAGGTATAGAGTTTATAATGGTGGAGAGGGTATAACATAGCAGCAGGAGCCAAAGCAGATAGATCACATTTTCAGCTGTGCACAGATCAGAACAGGAAGTAAGATGAGGCTTATAAAGCCTTACGGCCACCCTCAGTGATGTATACTCTCAAGCAAGGATCTACTTTCTACAGATTGTGTAATTTTTCTAAACAGGACTGTCACCTGGGGACCAGTGTTCAAATACATTTGGACATTGAGCCTTTGGAGCACTTTTCTCATTCAAACCACAAAAAAATACATGCAATTAATTCTCAGTCAGTGCAGGTGCTGTTAATGAACTTACGTTATAGGGTATACACTTTTAGGGGTTTTCATTATCTTATCTGCAGAAAGCTAGTATATAATGTTTGATGACTGCTAAGTGTTGCTTTTTGGTTGTTGTCAGTAGGAATCTAAGTCATCCAGATTAAAAGAGAAATGAATATCGTCATTTTCCACTTTGATGCATAAGTTTCCCTGACATTTCCTTGGAGTCACAGAAGAATTTGTTTACACATTTTACCATCAGACTAATAGGATGGACATTTCCAGTTTGTCCTGTGGTAAGTCCTGTTGGTACTGTTATCAAGAGAATCTGTTGTAGGTCCCTCTTACACAAGTAGAGCAAGAGTATGGACTGCTGAGGTAGGCCAAAGAGGGCTGTTTTGTATACCAGCCCTCTAGTACATTCTTGGGAATAGACACTGCATAATCCATTACTGATTTTTTTCTATCATTGGCAAATCCAGAGTTATATTTCTCAGAATTTAAGTTTCCTTGCCTTTAAAGTTGATGTACTTCTCTTGATGGCCAAGACAGTTCACCGTCACATTTTCCTGCTGTAAGAATTGCTGAAGCGTTGTAGGTTACTGGAGCTTTTATTTGCAAGTTATCCCGAGTGAACTGAGTTAGGTTGCAAATAAGTGAACTCCTGTTCTCACAGTGAATATGAACTTCTTGGCAGCTTTGTATTGCTGTTTCTTTCTTTTTTTTTTTTTTCAGGAAGTCTGCTTTCTGAGGACCAAGTCTGCAGTCAAGGAGAAGAAAAAGAGCGAGAAAGTACACTTGTTGATTGGCTGAAAAACTGTAATAAGGTATGAGTTCTAAGACAGATATGGCTATACAGAGAAACCCTATATTGGGGTGGGGGGGAGTCAGGGTGTGGTGAGGTAAAAATGTTTGAAATGTGCCATTATGAAACCATGATTAGAGTATATGGACATAGAATGAGTGTGAATACAGAGAAGCCTGGTCTTCTCTCTATTGAACAATGGCAGTGTACAGAACTTGCAGCTCTCTCTAGGCATTGAGTTCTTACTCTGAGATGAATTGTGGGTATATTAACTTGGTTGTAACAAGCTTGTGTCGGTGGTTTAGGATTTGATGACCTTTCAGGATGAGGCTGTGGATTTCACTCAAGAGGAGTGGAGTACAAAGGATCCAACTCAGAACAGCACACCTAGTGATGTGACAGTGGAAGACTACAAAAACCTGACCACCGTAGGTAAGTTATTCTCATATGATACTTCATTTGGGGCCGGCACATATATGTACTTAGTATGTTTAGAAACTATCAAATCCAGTGAGAGAACAATGATAGCAGTTTCTTTTCTAATATGCTTAAACTAACATGTTTGTTTAATGGGAGGGTACATCAAACTTCAGTGCCTCATATATGCTGTATATGCTTCCTTACTGAGCTGCATGCTTAGCACACTGTAGGCTTTTCTTTTTTTCTTCTTTTTAGATTTAGGGTGGCAGTGATGGGCACCTTTAATTTCAGCACTCAGGAGGCAGAGGCAGGTGGATGTCTGAGTTCAAGGCTAGCTTGGTTTACAGAGTGAGTTCCAGGACAACCCAGGCCTACTCAGAGAAACCCTGTCTCAATAAACAAACAAAAAAAAACCCAGAAGAGATTCGTTTTTATTTATTGTTTTGTGTGTGAGTGTGCAGGTGCACATGAGCCAACAGCGCACATGTGGAAGTCAGAGGACAACTCACTGGGTGTCAGTTCTCCACTCCCACCTTGTAGTTTGAGGAAGGCTCATTCTCATTTTTGCCACTGTACTTCTGATCCGTTCTTCTGTTTCTGCCTCATCTCTCATGATAAGACTGCTGAGGCTAGGATTACAGATAATGTACCATTGCCTTTGACTTTAAGATTTGGTGTCTTAGTTTACTTTCTGTTGCTGTGATAAAATCCTGAGTAAATAAGCAACTTGGGGAGGAAAAGGTTTATTTGGCTTACAGATTATAATCCATCGTTGAGGGAAATTGAGGCAGAACCTGAAACCATGGAGGAACACTGTTTACTGACTTACTCCCTGACCAGCCTGATCTACAAAGTGAGTCCAGGACAGCAGGGCTACACAGAGAAACCCTTCCACCCCTACAAAAAAAAAAAAAAAAAGAAAACGCATGTTTTGTTCTTGTCTCCACCTCTGATAAGTTGAATAGCACTTTTTAGTTCGTGTCTGTTTATTTTATGACTTTATTGGATTTGATGAACTATAATATTTATAAGTTAATGGCTTATTTATTGCCTAGCAAATATTGCTATGATTTATCAGAAATGTTAATATGAAATTGATTAGTATTTCAGTGGTCAGAGATCCTTGGAATCATGGGATTAAAGCTTTGTCTTTTTAGTCCTTTTGAAATAATTACTATTATTTTCTATTAGACTTACTGACCAAAAGCCAGGTTTGATTGTGCATGCTTGTAATCCCAGTAGGTTTGCAAATATGAGGGGCTAGCTTGGGCTACAGGACACCCTGTATTGAAAAAAAAAAATGCATTATAGGCCTGAACCATAGAAAAATTTGTCATCTCTTTTATTAACACAACTTTGAATGTAGGATGTCAGACAATTAAGAAACCCAGTACTTTGACTTGCTTGAAAGAAGAATTGGTGACCACACAGAGAGGAGTTGGCGAAGGTGAATGTTATTAAAGAACAACATTGACTAGTGGCATACATCATTAGCTTCCCTGTTTTTACTTTTTGTCTCCCAAAATTCTGTGATCTCGAGATAGCATTTAATGTTTCAAGGTGATTATCTTTTGCTTTTGTGTTTTTTGTTTGTTTTTTGTTTCGTTTCGTTTTTGAGTCATTGTGTGGCCCTGACTGGCCTGGAATTCACTCTGTAGGCCAAGTTGATCTTGAACTCACAGAAATTCACTTGCTTCTGCTTCCTGGAGTGCCAAGTTCATTTGTGTGTTTGTGTGTGTGTTTGTTTGTTGGAAGGTAAGTGATAAAATATAGTCTCCAATTATATATCCTAGGATTTGCCTTGAATGGTTGCTCTTCCTGCCTTCTTTCCTTCCTTTTTTTTTTTTTTTTTTAATTTTTTTATTATGGTGTAGCTTTAAATAGTTGATTCTCTAGCCTTAGATTTGTGTGTGCTGGGATTGCTGGTACGTACACCATGCTGTAGTTTCATGATATTTCTTCTTCTTTTTTTAAATCTCTGATAACATGTTTTTATTTTATTGCCATATATTAATTTTTGAAGAATTAATACTTTGCAAATTTTCCTCTGAATCTTTAGTTTGCTCACCAGGTTTATTTAGAAAACCATGGAGACATCTTATACTTTTTTGCTATATTGTTTTGTTATTTAAACCTAATCTTATTTTGTGGGTTTAATTCCAGAATTGGAAAAGCAACTACAAACCAAAGATTTAGCACTAGAGCAGGAATTTTTGACAAGACATACCTTCATGGAGACACAACAGGTGGTAAGTTCAAGGAAAAGTATATTTCCTATTTTATGCACTTAACCAAGTTTGACAGTTTCTTTTCTTTTCTTTTTTTTCTTTTTTTTTTTTTTTAAATAGGAAGTCATGGAGAGAAATGAGTTTCTTGGTAGAAGGAACACTCTTATCATATAATTTGAAGATGAGTATTAAGGGGATCCAAAGTTAATGTTGAAACTGACCAAGAGGCACAGTTTCTCAGAAGTAGACTTGCCCTTATAGCAAAACAAAACAGCAAACAAACATCCATGCCACTATTAAATTTCTAGTTGAATTTCTCTGGAAAGACATGTGTCTTGTATAGGTAAGGGATTACCCTGAAAGTTATCTTAGTATTTTAGTAATCATGTGTTTTAACTTCTATTAGTGATTAAGTATTATTTTGTGTTCTGACAAATGATAAAGATGAGACTCTCCATTTTAAAAGAAATAAATTTATTTATAATCACAAAACAAGTTTGAAATGTGCTTGGGAGTGTGCCACAACGTAGGGGAGTAAGATGAATAGAGTTCCCTTTGTGGTTGTGGCGAGACAACTTTATTTGTAAGAGGTGTAGAAATCTATGAGTACAGAGAGTCTACAGAGTGATCATGGCTAAGATACAGTCTAGGAATATTGAGTCCCGAGATAGATTATGGGGGACCTTAGTCTCTTTTATAGCGTGGATGTTACTTCCTCATTCTTCAGTGAGCACAGGTGATGTTTACTTTGCTCAAGTTGGCGTTTATGTGATGGTTCAGGATGCAGTGACCTTTGAAGATGTGGCTGTGGACTTTACCCAGGAAGAATGGACTTCACTGGATCTAGTTCAGAGAAACCTGTACAGAGATGTAATGCTGGAAAACTACCAGAACCTGGCCACAGTAGGTAAGACTGCCATCTTTTGTTCTATCTTCATAAGAGAACAGAAATACTGTTCTAGAATGTGATTTTAGCTCAGAGAACACTGGGAAATAGCAGATTAAATCCCTTAACAATTTAATCCATCATGTTTGTTCTCAACTAAAGGTTATTAGAAGTACCAATATTACTATACCAATAATGTTATTTTGAGATTCTTCCTCTTTTTGATTTGTTTTTGTTTTGAGGACAGGCCTGACTCTATGTACCTCAGGCTAGCTTCAAGCTCTTGGCAATTCTCCTATCTCAGATTCTGAGAGCTGGGATAACAGATATGTGTTACTATACTTGGCTGTTGATACTTCAACAACCTTTATGAATCTGTTTCTAAAAATAAGAACTGGTGCTATCATTTTTCTCTTTAAGAATGAGGACCCGTGGCTAGGTATGTTTTTGTTATAGAATGCTTGTTTAGACATATAAGGCCTTGGGTTTGATCTGCATCCCTGGGGGGTAGGGTGCAGTGACTTTATAACTTCATTACTTATATTAGATTTTATTGGGAGAAATGTTTTACTGCATTTTATTTTTTTTAAAGCATAGATTTTTCATTAATAATGATGGCATTAGGAATTAATAGTATGTTTTAATTTATTGACAGTGCTGGAAGATTTAATTTAGGACCTTGTACAGTCTAGGCAAGTGCTCTACTATTGAACATTCTCAACCATTTTTTGGTTACATGAGGCAGGTTTCATTTTTTTAGCCCTGCAGCCATGACTAGCCTGGAACTCTTGTTTCCTTGCCTTGTTAGCAATGGGATTACATCTATGCATAAACAGACTTGGTCTTCCCTAATGTTTTTTAACTGTGCATTTAGTTTTGAATGTGGATTTGATGGGTCATAGAAAATTTCTAGTCACCAATAGCATAAATATTTGTATTCAAAGCTTTTTGTTAATAATTTTAAGTCTTTCCTGAGAAATGTAGTTTTCTATCATTGGGGAATTTATGTGAACCTTTTCCATTGATGTATCTGTCTCTTTGTCTAGGAGGTCAGCTGTTCAAACCCAGCTTGATCTCTTGGTTGGAGCAAAAAGTAGAATTGACAGTAATGGAGCAAGGAATTCTCCAAGGTTGGTATTTGTTGAACACATTTCTTGTTGTTGTCAAGTCGGAAGTGTCAAGTTGGAAGTGTATCTAGGGAATTGTTAGGAGACTGCCTTGATTCTGAAGGTTGAGGTCTTAGAGAAACAATTTAATTTTCATAAAAAAAGCTAATGTATAGCATCTGTGATGCACCAGTGTTTTTTTTTTCTTTCTCCTATTATTCTATATACCATCACATTTAATTTTAATAGAAAAAAATCTAAATTATTATAGCTGTGATACCATATCCTGTGCTTGTCAAATTTTAGCCTTAGACAGTTGCTTTCATGTCTCTTCATTTACTGTTTAATGTATTTTAATATGAAAATACACAAGTGAAATTCTGGCCTGGAACTTGGCTTTATAGACCAGGCTGGCCTTGAACTTACAGAGATCTGCTTGCCTGTGGCTCCTAAAGGTTTGCACCACCACTCTTGGCCAATCAAAATGGGGGTTTTGGCTGTTTTTAAAAATGTAACCTTCCAGCCAGGTGGTGGTGGCACACACCTTTGATCCCAACACTTGGGAGGCAGAGGCAGGTGAATCTCTGTGAGTTCGAGGCCAGCCTGGTCTACTGAGCAAGTTCCGGAACAGTCAGAACTATAAAGAGAAACTCTGTCTCAAAAAACCAAAAACTAAAAAACAAACCAAAAAACAAAAAAACCTTCTGTTTGTTGTATAAATCCTTTTATAAGCTTTTTTGTTTCACTTTAGAATGGGAAATGCACCTTAAGACAAAAAGGACAGCACCTCAGCAGGATATGTTTTCATCAGACATGTCAAATGGAATACAACTGGTAAGACTCACAGAAATGAAATTTACTTTTATGTTTATGGGTGCTTTGCCTGCATATATGTCTTTGTACCATGTGCATTTCTGGTGTCCTTGGAGAACAGATGAGGACATCTGATTCTCTGGAGCTGGAGTTATAGACAATCGAGAGGTGCCATATGGGTGCTCGGAAACTAACCTGGGTCCTTTAGAAGAGCAGCAAGTGCTCTTAACCTCTGAGCCATCTCTTCTACCTCAGGATATTTCTTTTTTTTTAAAATACTTTCATTTGAGAATATCTCGTATAATGTATTTTGATAATATTCAGCTCCCACTTCTCCTAACTCCTCGAAGATCCACCGCCACCTCTCTATCTCTCCCAACTTCACGTTCTCTTTTAGAGTAAATAATCTATCAACTTGAATTTTCTGCTAACCAAACCGTTCCTTGGTGTACGTAGGGCCATTAGAGCATGGTTGATCTACTAGGAGCCGTATTCCTAAACTGTACCTTTTTCTCCCAGAACTCATCAGTTGTCCTTAGCTCCTTAGGGGTTGGGAGAAACAAGGATCCTAGTGTCCAAGGTCAGGAAATATTATGGATTCGCTAATAAAAATAGATAAAATGAAAGATATTTGAGAGAATAGCTGTTATAGGCAAGGGATCTCTTATTTTTCCCTCCTTTTCTTCATTTTTTTTCTTATTCGTTTTCTTTTTTTCTTTTTTTCAGAGAGGGGCTCACTATCACTCAAGGTAGCCTTCACTTGTGACGCTTTTGCTTGAGCCTTCAGAGTTCTGGGATTACAGTAGTAAACCAATGTACTTTGCATAAAGTGATGCCCCAAATGTATTGTGAAGTTTAGTTTATCAGAATTTCCACAATTATATGTTCTTGTACAAGCCTGAAAAATCTTAATCATGTTTTTACCCTTTATCAATAGGAAAGAGAACACAATGGAGGGGAGCTTGCTGATTCCGTAAAAGTTGGAAGAGTTTTCAGTGAAGATTCATGCCCTCAGACTCATATTAGTACTCCAGATACAGAGAATGCATCACAGTGTAATTTGTATGAAAAAGACTTTGTACTACCACTTAAAGAAACTTCTACTACTGAAGAGAACATTTTTCAATTGAACCAGTGTGTAAAACCTTTCACTTTGACACCAGATGATTCCAAGAGAATGTGCCCTCTGGAAAAATCCATTGAATGCAGTGACTGTGGGAAAACTCTTGCTAATCAGTTAGAACTTCAGGCACATAGTTCTTCTCATAGTGAAAAGAATCTCCACAAATCAGAGCAGTGTGGGCAAGCTCCTACTCATCCTATAAGCCATGATGGGCATGTTGTAATTCCCACTGAAAAAAAATACTACGAATGTAAGAAATGTGAAAAATTTTTTACGCATCCTCTATACCTTAATATCCATATGCAAAGCCACACCGTGGAGAAACCCTATGACTGTAAGGAATGTGGGAAAGCCTTCGCTGAGCGCTCAAGCTTAATTGTACATCTACGACAACACACTCGAGAGAAGTCTTATGAGTGTAAGGAATGTGGGAAAACCTTCATTCAACCCTCACGCCTTACAGAACATATGAGAAGTCATACCGGGGAGAAACCGTATCAGTGCGACCAGTGTGGGAATGCCTTTGCATCTTCCTCTTATCTTACTACACATTTGAGAACTCATACTGGAGAGAAACCCTTTGAGTGTAACATTTGTGGGAAGGCATTTACACGTTCCTCTTATCTGCTAGGTCACATACGAACTCACACAGGTGAAAAGCCCTATGAATGTAAAGTATGTGGGAAAGCGTTTAGTGGCCGTTCTTGGCTTACAATACATTTACGAAAACATACTGGAGAGAGGCCCTATCCATGTACAGAATGTGAGAAAGCCTTCACCAGCTTTGCTCAACTAACTGAACATATAAAAACTCACACTGGTGAGAAGCCCTTTCGTTGTAAGGTATGTGCAAGGACCTTTAGAAATTCCTCATGCCTTAAAACCCACTTTAGAATTCACACTGGAATAAAACCATATAAATGTAATTACTGTGGAAAAGACTTCACTGCACGTTCAGGCCTTACTAAGCATGTACTGATTCACAATGGTGAGAAGCCCTATGAGTGCAAGGAATGTGGGAAAGCCTTTAGTACATCCTCTGGCCTTGTTGAACACATAAGAATCCATACAGGAGAGAAGCCCTTTGAATGTTATCAATGTGGGAAAGCCTTGGCTCATTCCTCATCTCTTGTTGGACATTTACGTACTCACACTGGAGAGAAACCTTTTGAGTGTAATCAGTGTGACAAAACATTTACACGATCTTCTTATCTTCGTATTCATATGCGAACTCACACCGGAGAGAAACCATATGAATGTAAAGAGTGTGGGAAAACTTTCCCTGAGCGCTCATGCCTTACTAAACACATCAGAACACATACTGGTGAAAGGCCCTACGAATGTAAGGAATGTGGGAAAGGCTTCATTAGCTTTGCTCAGCTTACTGTACACATAAAAACTCACAGCTCAGAGAGGCCTTTTCAGTGTAAGGTGTGCACAAAATCCTTTAGAAACTCTTCATCCCTTGAGACCCACTTTCGAATTCACACTGGAGTAAAGCCCTATAAATGCACTTACTGTGGGAAAGACTTCACTGCTCGTTCAGGCCTTACTATACATTTACGAAATCACACTGGGGAGAAGTCGTATGCATGCCAAGAATGTGGAAAAGCCTTTAGTACTTCCTCAGGCCTTATTGCACATATACGAAGTCACAAAGGAGAGAAACCCTTTGAATGTGACCACTGTGGGAAAGCCTTTGCTTCTTCCTCTTACCTTAATGTGCATTTGAAAATTCACACTGGAGAAAAGCCCTTTCAGTGTACAGTATGTGGGAAAACATTTACATGTTCTTCTTACCTTCCTGTTCACATGCGAACTCACACTGGAGAGAAGCCTTTTCAGTGTATAATATGTGGAAAGTCATTTTTGTGGTCCTCCTACCTTCGAGTTCACATGCGAATTCACACTGGAGAGAAACCCTATGTATGTCAGTACTGTGGAAAAGCCTTTACAGAACACTCGGGCCTTAACAAACATTTGCGGAAACATACAGGAGAGAAACCATATGAATATAAGGAATGCAGTGAAGCCTTCACTACTTCTGCTGATGCTAATGAACATGAAAATCCCCAATGGGGGGAGAACCTTTGAATGTAAGGAATTAAGATAATTGTTCTGGAAGCCCTTGACTCATCCTTTGGAATCAGAAGTCACAGTTTATACAAGTCTTATTAATATAATAAGCAATGTATAAAAACATTCAGTTGAGTAAAGACAACTCATTCTGAGGATGCTCTGGGTTGAAGGGTTGTGGGAGAGACCAGAATCTCATGGTGTATGAACTCACTCGAGGTTTAGTATAGAAAACAAAAACCTCTGGTGTTTCCATGTATGTTGATGTAAGACGTAGCAGTGTGTCACAGATTTTCACTTGCTCTGTTCACTTATGATCTCACAGAAAAATCTTACTAAAGTTCAGGAAGTAACTTTATATTGACTTTGTGGTATTTACGGACTGCACACAAAACTACATGTGTAATAGGGGATTTGCTTCAGTGTTCTGAAGTCTTGGATGGTAACACATGGATTTCCTGGGTGCTTCTAGATGAACTTTTGACTATTTCTACGTTTGTATATTTTTATGACTTCAATTATGTTTTTAAATTCCATATGGGATTTCCTTTTTAAGCTATTCCTGTTTGATATGATTGAAACTGTTGTTTATGCCTAATGTTTATTATATGTCTCATGTCAGCATTGTGAATGAACACAAACTCCCATCTACTCACTACTTGTTAGTTTATTTGTTGTCATGTATTCCTGCACTGTTTCTTTCCTCTTTGTTATCCACCCCACACCCCTTTTAAAAAAACGGCTAGTATGAATCATGTAGTCTAGACTGATGTCTAGCTCATGGCAGTCCTGGCCTAGCCTCCTGAGTGCTTAGATTACAGGTGCAAGCCACCATTATCATCTTTGTACTGTCTTAAGTGCTGTCTTTGCTAGCACTGAAATTACCATGTTTTACATAGCACTCAAATACTTAACAAGTAGGTTTGGATCTGACCAATACAATCCTTTTCTCTGAGTTCCAAATCTCTGGTAGACATTATTCCATTTTCTGATTGGAGTTCAGCTTTTCTTTAGCCTCTACTTGTTAGGTCATGTAGTATCTGTATTAACTCTTATCTTTTTTATTTTTGTGACAGGGTCTTGCCCTAGCTCAAATTGACCTCAAACTCCTAACCTTTCTGCCTCAGATTTTACTGCTGGATTTACAGGCATGTGCCAACATGTCTAGCTGTTTCTATGGCTTATATCAATTTACATGAGGTTCTCAAGGTGGAACCTTGTTATGGTCAGTTATTTTAAGTCACTTAGTTTTCCTTTCATTTGTGTATGGATACTTAGTTTCCATACCTTGGCTGTTAGGATTATTGCTACATTGAATATGGATGTAGTTATCTATCTCTTTAAATTGATGATCTTATGTTCTCAGATACAGTCCTAAAAGTGTGTTTGTTACAGGAATGATAAGTGTTAATTCAGTGTCTGTATTATTTTTTAATCACTATCCATTTATGTTCCCAATGATGTACATAGCCTTTTACTTATCTTTTTACTTTTCTGCCATTTAAAAATGTGAGATAGTATCTTCATAGTTTTGATTTGCTTTTTCTGATCTATAAGCCATTTGTATGTCTTTGCTAAAATATTGATTTCAGTTATTTATCAATTTAAAAATCAAGATATGTGTATTTTGCTGTGACCCATTGTAATATATATATATGGTTTACAGGTATTTTTTCCATCTGTGTACATGCCATTTCAGATTTTTTTGCTGTTTTGTAAAATCTTTAATTTGATATCCCCTAATTATTTATTTTTGCTTTTAATGCTCATGCTTTTCTGTCTGTTCTTAAATTTTTTGCTAGTATGTCTGGAAGCATTCTTTCTGGACTTTTATTGTGTTACAGTTTTAGGTTTTGCTTTCTGGGTTTTGTTTGAGTTGATCTTACGGTGTAATCCAAGATAGCATGGAACTCACTGTGTAGATCAGGGTGATCTTAAACTTTTAGCAGTATTTCTTCCACAGGCCTCCTGAGTGCTGAGATTTTGTGTTTGAGCCAGCCTACCCCACCTAACTGTATTTCCTTTACTATTATTTAATTCTGTTTTCATATACGCACACACACATGCATACATACACATTCTTACACAACACAGTGTATGAGCACTTATTTTACATATGCATTTTTCTCAGTTTCATATTTGTGCAACTATCTTTTTTATGTTATGATAGTTTTTGAAAATTTGCTTATAAGCATTTTTTATTGTCTCTGTTTTGGTGCTAGGAATTGAACTTGTGGTCTCATGAGTGCTCAGCACGAGTTCTATCATCAAGCTATAGTTCTAAACTCATTGTTGAAATTATATTGACTGTAAAGGTGTTTTTTTGTTGTTTGTTTTGTTTGTTTTTGAGATAATTTCTCTGTATAGCTCTGGCTGTTCTGGAACCTGCTATGTAGACCAGGTTAGCCTCAAACTCACAGAGATCCACCTGTCCCTGCTTCCCAGAGTGCTGGGATTAAAGGTATGTGCTCCTACACCTAGCCATCATTACACATTTATTTCTAAACAATTTGTTATATTGTTTGTATCACCATTTTACTGATTTCTACCTATGTAATGGGTTTTGTTTGTTTTGTTCTTGCTCCTTGAGACAAGGTCTCTAAGAGTTTAGACTGGCTTTGAAATTAACTAATGGTCAAGAATGATTTTGGACCTCTCATCTTCTTGCCTCTAGCCCTCCAGTGCAAGAAATATAGGCATGCACTACCACACTATTTTTCTGCAGTGCTTGAGTATCAGTCTTCATGCCAAGTAAACTCTACCAACTGAGCTTCATCTCCAGCCCTGTAATACATTGTTAAACTTTAAATTTTTTTATTTATTTAAATCTTTGGTTTATCTGAAAGGTTTTGGTTTCTTATGCTTTCTGAAATATTTTATAAGTCTGTGAAAAAAATGTCATTAGAATTATTAATACAATGGCAATAAATCTACAAAGCTCTTTGGGTAAGATGAACATTTTAACAATGGTAATTCTCTCAGTGTGCATGGATACCTTGACATTTGTTCATAGTGGTTTAGATTTTTCCTGTTTAATTTTATTCTCTACTGTTTTATGTAGTATAATTTTTTTATGTTGACACCCGGTCACCTGAAACAGTTTTACTTTCCTTACTGGGCTGACTTTTTCCTTTCTTATCCTAATTGCTTTAGCTAGGCTTTTCGCTGAATAAACGAAGGAAAGGTAGGTATGCCTATCTTTGACAAGTTTGAGGTTTGTAACACTGAATGATAACTGCATTTGTTTTTTTTTTTTTTAACTTTTTAACTTTTTTTTGTTTTTTATTAATTACACTTTATTCATTTTGTATCCCCTGCATTTGGTTTTTATGTACTGCCATTATGATTAAGTACATTTCTATCTAATTTATTGACTGTTTTCTCCATCATCTGATATCCTGTGTTGTTACATGATTCTATACGTTTTCTGCAATACAGATTTTCATTTTGTTCATTTAGTATATCACATTTATTTTCATAAACCATTTTTCCACCCCACTTATAAGTTATTATTGATCACAGTTTGTGTGATCTTTTTAAAAGTTACTTTTATGAAGTGACCAGGAGATTGAAATTGTCTTAATAAATAATTTTTTATCATTTATTTTTGAGACAGGGTCTTGCTATATAGTCCAAGCTTGGCCTTGAACTTATCATTTAACCTAAACTAACCCCAAACTAATGATCCTCCCACACTAACCTTTAAGTGTTGTGGCTTCAGTAATAGCCCATTGTGCCTGGCTGTTAATGTTCAGAAAGACTTTCCTGTTTCGCCAATAAGTGACTCATTTGTTAGAGCTTAAACAGAGTGAAAAAGAGATAAGATGGTTAACTTCTGTTGTAAGGGTGTCATGGTTGTAAAGAGATCCTAGAAATAGAATACTCAAGTGTGGAAAGCAAATGTTAGTGTATATGTAGAGAGAAATAGCATAATGAAAACAAGATCATTTCAGTATTCTTTGACATATAATTAACACTGAGTTTGTTTTTTTTTTTAAATTTATTTTATGTATGAGTGCTCAATTTGCTTGTACATTTGCATGCCAGAAGAGAGTATCAGATTCTAGTATAGATGGTTATGCGCCACCATGTGGTTTCTGGGAATAGAACTCAGGACCTCTGGAAGGGCAGACAATGCTCTAAACCAGTGAGCCATCTCTCCAGCCCCAACACTGAGTCTTAAAATCACTAAGGAAACTGTACTTGAACTAGACTTGAGACCAAGTAGATCTAATAATTCTATACATAACATTCTATATAAGAGCCAGAGAATACTCTGTATTAATTTCACAGGTACATTATGAGAAATTTCATAGTAGACTTAATCAAGCTTTTCTTTTAAAATAGACAGGATTGAGTTTATGTAGTTTTTGGGAGAGGGTCTCATTGTGCAGTCCAGATGACCTCCAGCTAACCATTCTGTCTCAGAGATAAAATGCTACATTGTATTTTATTTTATTTTTATATTACATTTATTTATTTGGAGTGGGGGTACACAGCATGTTTTTGGAGATCAGAGGACAACTCAGGAATTGGCTTTCTCCTTCCACTTTGTAGATCCTGGGAATTGAACTCAGGTGGTTGGGCACCTTTGCTTCCTGAGCCAACTTGCTGGACTACATAGTTTTATATTTGATATGAAAACACCTAATGTCTTGGCAAATTAGAAAATGTGTAGTTGCATAGAAGTGGATTCTTATATGTATCTCAGTGAATGGTGACTGATGTGGCAGGGACTTGGAGTAGAACCAGGAAAGCCTGTGTTAAGCTTCACAGAGTCTTGGTTTGTCAGGAAATAAAACGGGCCATTTTACCAACATCTAATGTCTTAGCCAGTTTTCAGTGTACAATATATTGTTCACTGTTGTTACAATGGTGACATAACAAGGTGTATACTTTTAAACAGTTGTCTCTTTATTTCTCCTAAACCTTAATCACTGGTGGCCACTGTTGTAGTTTAGTTCTGTGCCTTCATTTTTTTTTTTTTCCCAAATTCCAGGTATGAGATAATGCAGAGGTTGGGTGTGTGTGTGTTGCAGGTATATGCCTGGTGGCCAAGAAGATCAGAAGAGGGTATCGGGTTTTCTGAGACTGGAGTTACAGACACTTAGGAGCCTTTATGTGGCTACTGGGAATTGAACCCATTTCCTCTGTAAGAGTAGCCAGAGTAGTATATTTGAAGCCAACTTGAATTTTGTTTGAAACCAATTTGGTTTGAAAGTGCATTGTTCCCTACAAGCCTATGTGCTTGGACATGTCTCCCCCAGCTGGTGGCACTTGTTTTTGAAGGCCGTGGGTAGGGAGTGGTCTTTGAAGGTTGTACCTGCCAATAGGTTTGGTCCACTTCTCTACTTCAGATCTGTGAAGATGTGAACAATGTGCACCACAAGCTCCTGCTGCCACAAAGCCACTCTGGCCACCATGCCTTTCCTGACATGGTAGATTTCGCCCTCTGAATTGATGTCAAACCTGTCAGGAGTTTTGACAAGTAATACAGCACCCACAGCACTTTAACTGATGAACCATCTCTCTAGCTTCTCTTTTTATATACTTACTGGCCACTTGGATGTTTCAGAAAAGTGTCTAGGTTTCTTTCATGTTAGGGTCTCATGTATTTGAGAATGTCCTCAAACTTGGTATGTGGTCAAGAATTACCCTGAACTTTCAGTCCTGTCTCTGCTCCCAATTGAACCTGAAGGTTTATGCATGGTAGGCCAGAACATTATTTTCAGAGCTACATTGGCATTTTCAGATATGTATATAATGTACTTTGCTCATATTCATACACACCTTTGCCTTACGTTGTCTTATTCTGATCTTCCTCTAAAGCTCAAGCTCCATCTTCTCTATTTTCATGTCTTTTTTATTCTATGCACGAGAGAAAATAATTATTTGTCACTCTGAATCTGGCTCACTTAATAAGCTTTTTAGTTCCATTACTTTCCCTACAAATTATCCAGTTTTTTCCTTTATGACTAAATAAAGCTCCATTCTGTGTGTCATTTTTTCATTTCATTATTGTAAGTGTGTGCCCCCCATGTGTTTGGATGTCCAAGGGGGTTAAAGAAGACATTGAATCTCCTGGAGCTGTAGTTGCAGGTTGTGAGCAACCCAGCAGTGGTGCTGTGAACCAAACTCTGCTCCTCTGGAAGTGCAGTCTTAGCTGCTGGGCCATCTCTCAATCCATTTTTTTTTTCCCTTTGAGACAGGGTTATCTGGCTGGCCTGGAAGCTCTGTAAACCAGGCTAGCCTTGAACTCAAGAGTTCAGTCTTCTGCCTCCTGAGTGCTGTGATTAAAGGCACATGTTACCACTGCCAGGCTCTCAATCCATTTATTAATAAACACCTTGGCTGAGTTTTTAACTTTGCTACTTGTAGTGGTACTGTTAACATGTGTGTACAGACGTATTATGTGCTGACTTGGTTCTCTGGTATAAACCCAGCTGAACACATCGGTTTAGAGTCATGAAGGATGTAGGAGTAAAGGGTTGAGTCTTCCTCTCTGAATAAGGAAAGCCATGGAAGCCAGGTGTTTGGCAAAGGAGTTCTTATATGGAGGCCCGAAGAGGCCACTGTCTGAAGCTGTGTAAGTGAAGCCTGGATTGTGTTAGAGACCTCAGGGTTTTGGAGATGCCAGAGCCATAGAATATCTTTTGAGGAGAGTTGCACATGGAATGGAACCAGCTCAATAAAGGTATATTTGCAGTCAACAAAGTTCCAAGGATTGGGGAATCCAAAGACCCATCCATCATAGGACATAGAGTTGTGGGATTTGAGTTTGCCCTGCTAGGTTTCAGTTTGCTTTGATTAATGTTTCCCCACTATGCCTCATTTCTTCCCTTTTGGAATAGTAATTCATATTCTATGCCATTGCATATTGGAAGTAATTTTTTTTTTTTTAATTTACAGGAGAAAGCCTTGTGGGGGCTTTTGAAGTTGGATTAAATGTATTTTTACATTATGAGACAGCTCCAAACCTTTAGGAGTTAGGGAGTGGAGTGTGGTGGTTTGAATGAAAATGGCCATCATAGGCTCATATATTTGAGTACTTGGTTCTCTAGCAGGTGGAGCTGTATGGGGAAGGATTAGGAGGTATGGCCTTTTTGGATGAGTTGTCTCACTTTGGAGGGCTTTGAGCTTTTAAAATCCCATGCCAGGCCCAGTCTTTATGCCATGTGGTTGTCTTAACATGTAAGCTTTCCAGCTCCAGTGCCATGCCTACCTACCTGCCACCACCATGCTCTGTGCCATGATAGTTATATATTCAACCTCTAAAACTGTTAAGTAAAGCTCAGAATTAAATGCTTTTAAAAGTCTTGGTCATGGTGTTTCTTCACAGCAATAGAAAAGTAACTTAAAAGACAAGATAAACACTTTCTCTCTGCCTCTCACCCCCCACCCCGATAATTAAAAATGGACCAGGTTAGAGTAGACATTTCATCTTCATCTCATACACAAAACCAGCCAGGTTGTGGTGCACCACCTTTGACCCCAGCACTGAGAGAGGCAGAGACCGGGAGGTCGGGCTTGACAAAACTGGAATTCAAGGAAACCCAAAAGTCTTTGTAGATAATAGCAAGTGTTCTGTTTGTACAGACACTGTCAAAGACTGCATGAACAAGATGTTCATGGGCAGCAGCTAAGACACTTCACAAGAATGAGCTCCGCAATGTAGCCAGCCATTCCTACCGTTTTAGTGGGTGCTGGGGATTCCAGGCCTTTATTCTTTCAGAGCAAGCATTCCTGTCATTGAGCGTCCCCAGACCCTGATAATTATTTTTTGTTTAATAATTGTTCTTTGAGACAGGTTCTCACTAGGCCTGGCTGGCCTGGAGCTCACTGTGTGGGCAAGCCTGGCTTTGAACTCCAGAGAGATCTGCCAATCTCTGCCTCTTTAATCCTGGTATTAAAGGCCACATGCCTGGCCTAAATTAGCGACTACAACTTTACTAACGTCATAAAAGGGCACCCCCCCCTTCAAGGAAGTGTTCAAAAAATATTACTAGAAAAAAATCTTTACACTCTTGTATAATGAGAATTGCTTAGCACCGATATGTATATTCGAAGACACTCCCTCCCAATTTACAGGCCAAAAAATAGTGTGGGGAGAATAGGTTCTGGACCTTATCTCAAACAGCCAGTTTTTGGAGGACAAGTGGCATTATAAGATCAACTATTTCAAGATAGTAAGCTGCCTTCTTAAAATTTCTCAAGTATAACCCACTCAGTGGGTTATATTTGTCTTAAAACTGCGATGAAAGGCGCCCCAACCATCCCCCCCCGGGGGGAGTGGCATTCTTTTCTGCTCCCTGATAATTTGCCTATTCTCTGTTCAGAGTATGTTACTTTGTTTTTAATTGCATCTCTTTATATCCATTTTTGTATGTGTATGTGTGGTCAGAAGACGAGTTAGTATGTAGGTGGTTTTAAATTGCAGTGAAAATTGCAGGCTCGGGGGTCTAGAACACCGGAAAGGGATGTCTCCAGCTACCTCGGTAACTTTTCATATAAATTCTGGTTTGGACTCCCGTGCACTGGGTCCATCCCAATAGGACAAAAAACCCAAAGTCCCAACTGTTGGAATTGAGATAAGTGTCCCAGATAAAGAAGAGAAATCACGGTCTAAGAGGTCCAGAGACCTCTTAAACAGGGTTCAGTTCATTTCATGGATGCCCAGGTTCACCACTGGAGCTAATCAAGTCAGCACTTGTGTGTGGAAAGCAATTACGACCACAGTGTCTTCTAACCTTCCTGTCCTCCTGGCACCGGACCAGCCACTCAAGTCCCACCCGCAGCCCAGTTCGCCCTCGTAACTGTGACCTCAACCTTGTGGTGTGTTTCTGCCTCTCTTCCCTGCTGTCGTCCACTGAGGGTTAACTGCACTTTTGTGCACAGGAGGAAATTCTTGTTTCTTTTACAGGATTCCAGACTACCATAGCCGGGACCCGTCCTGCAGCCTAGGCCGGAAGCGGAAGCGCTCTTTGTCGTTGCTTTCCGTCTCTTCTGTCCCGCGATTCTGGTTCCGGGATTTGTAGTTCCTCTGCTCCGCAGAGGCGGTGGCCGCAGGCGGCCTGGAAGAGGCGGGTCTTGGCCAACGCGGCGGCGCTTCCTCCGGCTGTGCGGGCGAGCACGACCGGATCCATTAATTTTTCCAAAAGGAAAATAATTTGCGCCGTCTTTTTCGGTCTTAAGTCCTCTTCAAGGACTTGGAGAGTCGGAAGTGTTCTTGCGGTTGTGTGTAAACTGGAAACTAAACCGAACCCAGGTCCTGTGCAAAATCAGTGTCTGCACTCCGTTGAGCCATCTGCAGCCCCAACAGCACTTCTCAAAGTAAGGAAAACACGTTGTTGTTGGATGTGGTGGAGCCCTGCGGTAGGAGGATCAGGAGTTTGAGGCTAGCCTGGGTACCTTACAAAATCCTGTCTCAACTAAACAGTTGAGCCTGAGAAAAACTAAAAATGAACACATTCTTCCCAAAATAAATCTAATTTTAAAAATTGTCTTTATTATGAGTATAGGATGGGCTGGAGAGATGGCTCAGCCGTTAAAGGCTAGGCTCACAACCATAAATGTAAGAGTATAGGTGTTTTTCATGCTTGGTGTCTGTGGAGGCCAGAAGAGGGCATTGGGTCCTCTGGAACTGGAATTTTAGATGGCTTATAGCCTCCATGTAGGTGCTGAGAACTGAGTTCAGGCCCTCTGGAAGAGCGGCCAGTGCTTTTAACCACTACGCTATCTTAAGCCCCTCCTCTACCCCCAAAGTATACATTCTCCTTTCTTATTAAACTATCTAAGGAGATACATTTATTATTACAAATTGATTAGGATGTAGAAATAGAGGACAGCATGATTCTGTCTTTAAATGAAAGTAGTGACTAGAAGAAAAAGGAATGTTTGAAGTGACACCAAAAAGTATAAGTAGGAGGGTGCTGGAGAGATGGCTATTGTTCTTGAAGAGAACAAATTATATACTTCAATTTGTAACTGACAGAATAAATGGTATTCAGCTGGTATAAGTCAGAAAAAACAGTAAAGCAAGAATGTGTTTGAATTTTCCATAGACAGGACATTCAGGAATTAGAATCTTTAAGTGCACTTTGAGCACCAGTAAAAAATGTTCTGACAAGGCCTTGTTTTGTGTAAATAGAGATGTGATTTTTCCTTTATATTTTTGTTATCAGTCAAGAATTCCAGAGGATGTGTGTGTGCATTTACTTTGAAGGGAGCAGGTTTTTTGTTTAAACTTTTTTCCCTTTGTGTCTGCGTGGGGGTGGGTGCTTGAGAAGGCCAGAGGACAGCCTGAGATCCAGAGCAGAGCTACCAGGGACTGACCTGCCTGAAGAACCCAAGCTGGGACGACTGCTTGACAACTGGTCAAGTGTTTTGTGTTTTGGGCTCTGTCCTTTATTATGGATGGCCTTGCTAATGAATGGAAATAACATAATGCCACTAAGCTCCGTTACATATGATGCTCAACAGTGCCATTTGTATAGCTTTATTTATTCTTCTGCAGCTTGTTATACATGTAAATAACACCCTGGAAGGCCAGTTGTCACCAGCAAGGTGGTATGGGACATGTGCTTTAGGTCAAAGACAGATCTATCTGAAAAATCCTCAGTGGTGTTTTTTAAAATCTCTTTTTGGGAATAAGCCCTGTTTTTTCTTTACAGAGAGTCAGAGAGGTATTAGCCAATAAAAAGAAAATCTCATTTCTGTTTTTCAAATAACAAAGACTCTTTTGTTGTCAATCCACAAAAGGACTCTAGTGACTCCTGAGGGGTCAAATGCTTGGAAATCTTGGTACAAACACAAAGACTTTACCACCAGGTCCTCTATAAACTCTATGGCAACTGTGACTTCTGTCCTCCATCTTTCCCTCCTTCCCTCTTTCCCTTCCTGCCTTCTTTCCTTGCAATTTTCTTTCATTCTTGTCAGTCTGCTGCAGTCCTCTGAGTAGCTAGGGTTACAGTGCCTGCCACTATGACTGGTCCCCCTTACCAAGGTCCCACTATTTAGCTCTGCTGGTCTGCAACTGTCCATGTAGACCATGCTGCCCTCAAACTCACAGAGATCTCCCTGCTTCTATGTGAAAGTTATTTATATAAAAACTGTGTTTCTCAGTTTCTCCCTTAACCCAGCTACTTTCTTAACCCGCTATCACATAAATAATTGAAACTCTTTTATACTTGTCTAACAATAAGCTTCACAACCCAATAACTGAACAATTATTACTTTATTCTTAACCCTCTTAGCTAATCTGGTTTTTTCCTAGTGTATATCCCAGAACCTTGCACTTTGTAGCTTTTCCTACTCCAGCTCCTTTCCTGATGTCACCGGGATCTCTCTCTGGCAGAATCCCCTACTTCCTCCTCTAACTCCTCCTCCCCTGGCTGGCAAGAAGTCCAGGCCTTTTTTCTCCCCTGCTCAGAGATTGGCCATAAGCTGCTTTATCAGCATATCAAAAGACAGTTGGAAGCAGTCTGTATACAATATTGAGATAGGAAATTCTTAGGACTGCATCCACATATGGGTGTGTGTGTGTGTGTGTGTGTGTGTGTGTGTGTGTGTACAGAAATCAGCATTTGAATTACATAAAAACCTTATGCCTGCACTTCTGCCACCAGAGTATTAGGATTGAAAGTTTGTACTGTTATGCATGGCCTCACTAACAGCTTGCTAACAGCTTGCTCTAGAGGATTCTCTGTCTTTGTTGCTTTCCCCATGTGGATTACAGGTGAGCTGCCATATCCACTGTCTTAGTGTTTTATTGCTGTAGAGAGACACAATGACCATGGCAGTTCTTATAAAGAAAAGCACTTAATTAGGCCTAGCTTATAGTTTCAGAGGTTTAGTTCATTTTGGTCATGGCTGGAACCATGGCAGCATGCAGGCAGACATTGTACTGTAGAGGTATCTGAGAGTTCTGTATCTGGATCAGTAGGCAGCAGGAAGAGATAGTAACACCGGGCCTGGCTTGAGCTTCTGGGACCTCAAAGTCTACCACACACTTCCTGTAATAAAGCTGTACCTTCTAATAGTGCCACTCCCTGTGAGCCTAAGAGGGCCATTTTCTTTCACACCACCACACCCTTCCCTAAGCTTTTAATTTTTTTTTTTTTTTTTTTTACAAGGTAGAAGCTTAGCTAAGTGGGTTCTTGCTCTTAGGTCACCCCTCCCTTAACTCCCTTTGTTCTAATTAACATCAGCCTTTTCCTTAATCTAGTAAACTTCTGGTGCCTCTTCCCCCAACCCCCACAACCTGTACATTTTGTATTTCTCCTTGCTTGGCTTGCTCCTTTTTATTATTTGTTTATTTGATTATTAATATTTAATGTTGATTTATCTTTTAAGCAAACAGTGTTATTCCTAAACCAGCTGTGTACCCAAATCACCACATAGAAACTAGGATTTATTTAATTAACCTAGAGCACAATGCTGGGCAATAATTACTCCATCTTAAACCTCCAAGCCCGCATAGCTTCCTCCCTTTCAGATTTCCCATATTATACTTGCTTTTTATCATATCTTAGTTTTGGTTTATTTCTCCTGATGTTTTGTAGTCCTCTCTCTCAGATCTTTCCTCCCACTCTTTCTCCTCCCTTCCGGACCAGGATGTCCCACCCTATTCTCTCCATTGCTTAGCATTGGCTGTTTGTTTTTATTGGCAATACAGAGAACAAATGGTACCATGTTCACACAAACTTGAGACAGGTGATGCTTAGAATAAGTATCACAGTGCAATGTCCAGATTGAAATCAGATAGTGGGGTAGAGAAATTAACGTTTGAATGGACAAGGGTAAATTGTATACGTTCCACAAGAACATTATACCAACAATTATAGATCTTCATAAGACTGGCCAGTAATCACCACAAGACACAGTCAACACTAGGCTTTTTGGAAATCTCCTCTGCCAAAACTGTTAATCCATAACTTTTCAATTTAGGCTTAGGCAGATTTTTTTTTTTTTTTTTTTTGGACAAGGGCAGAGAGCAGCTACATTCTTCCCCAAAATATCACAAGAATGGTCTCTAGGCCACTTACTAATATTCTTGCCCTCTGAAACCTCTTGAGCCAGGCCCCCTCAATTCAAATCACCCTCAGCACCACTGTCTTCTGTTGGGACCAATTAATGAAAGATGAGGCTCAAAACAGATCTTCTATGAAAGAGGTTTATTAGGTGGGTATGAAGAGAGGGAGGGAAGGGAGAGCAGGAATGGGGAGAAAGAGAGAGAGAGGGGGGCACCCCGGTAGAGAAAGGACCAAGAGAACAAGAGAAGAGAGGACCAAGAGAGAGACCACATGGCCGGCTGGTCCCTTTAAGGGGCAAAGTAACCACGCCTTCCAGGTGTGGCCACCTGGCCAGAGACACACGATGACATCATAAGTTGCTAGGCAACCCAGAAGCAGGTTTTGTTCCAAAATCCTAACATTCCTCCCTTTTTCTATAATTAAAAAATTAGGAACTTGGGCTGCTTTTTATGAGGTAAGTTAAAGTATATACATTTAGGTTCATTGGAAGCAGCTCTTGGTTGTCATGCAAGGGGTTAAGAGAGAAGAATTATAGCATCAAAATGGTCAGATTACACGGTCAAGAGTAAGGGAAGCCTCTGCCCTGGAAAATTTAGGGTAGAGGGTTGTCAGTAGAGACTTGCCAGCCATGCAAGGTAGGAACTGAGGAATTCTGGGAGAACCTGGAGCTGCTTGTCCTGGTCCTGAAGCACACCATTTCAGCCTTTTGTTAATAAGTGAATAATGGGCATAGATTCTCTTCTGGCTACTTCCTACTTTCTGCTGACACTGGAGGCACTGTAGGGAGGTCAAAAGGCTGAAATGTTGGCTGAGTCCAGGAAGAACAGACTGTTTTGATGCTGTCCAGGGTCTGTGAGAACATCCATGGCTGGGAGGGAAAGTGCAGGTCCAGCTAGATAGAAGTCTGTGAGGTCAGAGTTGAACACTTGTAGCTGCTTTGGCACTGTTGTGGCTATAGGAAACCTCTTTGTCTGGCAGGACACTGAAACAGAGGTGGAAGGTTTGGATCAATGAGACTTGAACATGGGAACCTCCGTCTACCTGGGGGGACCTTTATTTACCCAATCACTGGCAGTAGTTAAAAAAGGTTTTGTTTTGGATCTGTCATTGAGGTGAGGTTTGGTTACAGAAGTGTGTAAACTTTGAGACCCTAGTGCTAGCTGGCACTAGGTATAGAAACTTGAAATTCTCTAGAAGATATCCTAGAGGAGAATCTGGAGGAACGGGCGTCTGGGCATTCCCCATTGGGAGGCAGAGAAGTCAGTGACCTTCCAAAGGTGTTCAAAAGGTGTGACTCAA